GACCTAGGTCTGCTGCATGTGTGGCCTCAACTGCTGTAGGCTCGGTCCTGGGCAGGGGAAAAGACGTGTGGGCGGGCCAGCTGAGACTTGGGCGAGCAGGGTCGGGAAGGGGTGGGAAGGGTCCGTGGGGTCCAGCTCTTCACACAGTGCCCCAAGCAGCGGTGCTGATCTCGGTCAGATAATAGACCCAATGGCGGGTTCACGCTGCGGGCAATGACCGTCCCCACCCGGGATAGAGGTTCTGTCCTGCTGCCCGGGAGCCGCTGGCCCACTCACCTGGCGCAGGTGTGCCCGCCCCGCCCCCTTGGCCTCCTCCCAAGAGGAAGCAGCCCCCCCTGCCCACCCCGGCTCAGGCCTGGAGTGGAACTGGCCAAGGATGGCCGCTGGGGCGGGTTAGAACCGAACCAGCTGCGGCGCCGCCTTCTCCCTCTGCAAAGCGGGTCTGCGGTCACGGGGCTGAACATGGGATCCCAAACCTGGCTGCCCGCAGCTTTCTGACAAAAGAGGTCAGGACGGGCAAGTCGAGAGTTTGTGGGGTTCCTCCATCTATAGGGCATGAGGTGCGCAGGGCTGAGGACCCCACCCCCACAAAAGCATCTGGACTCTGGGGCCCCGCTGATGGCCCACCTCCACCGCTGGGTCTGGGGTGGGGGCAGGAGGATGTCACTGTGATGCAGCTGCCCATCTCCAGGGAGCTTTGGGGCTCTCAGGCGCTGGGGGCGGGGTCCCCTCTGCCTTACCAGGTGCAGGGGACCCCCTGCCTGCCGCATCTTTTCCTGCTGGGCAGGCGGGGTCAGTTGGCTGGTCTCGGTGCCATGTCACCAGCCCCCCACCCCCAGCACTCAGGGAGCTTCTGGGGGTGCTTTTTGGAGGATTCTGCCTCCCCGTCGTCTCCACCTGTCCAGGGGCTCCGGCTCCGCGCAGAAACGGGGTCCGGTTGTGGGGAACGCCCCTCCCACATCTCCATCTCCCTGCCATTGGAGGGTGTCCCCCACCCCCACCCCACAGGCAGGGTTCCCAGCCCACCTGGTGGTGCTCACCTGCTTGGGGCTAGAATCTGTTTTCTGGTGAAGCAAGAAAGTTTTTTGTTTTTACTTTTTTTTTTTTTTAAGTCACACCTGATGATGCTCAGTGGTTCCTCCTGGCTCTGCACTCAGGGATTACTCCTGGTGGTGCTCAGGGAAAACCTATGGGATCTGGGGATTGAACCCGGGTTGACCGCGTGCCAGGCAAATGCCCTCCCCGCAAGAAAGGTTTTATTGAAACTCATTTAGAAAACTCATTTAGATAGATGTGAGGGGAGAGAAGGGCCGAGTGTGTGCCCGAGAGAGAACACGGGCTTCTCCAGAGCCGTCAGAGCGCGAAGCAGGTGACGTGCGTGGTTCAGGGAGAACTGGGCATGCGCAGAACCTGCTCCAGAGCCTGGGGGCTGGACCCTGAGAGCAGCCGTGTTTATTCTTTTTTTTTTTTATCTTTTTGGGTCACACCCGGCGATGCACAAGGTTTACTCCTGGCTCTTCACTCAGGAATTACTCCTGGTGGTGCTCGGGGGACCCTATGGGATGCTGGGAATCGAACCCAGGTCGGCCACGTGCAAGGCAAACGCCCTACCCGCTGTGCTGTCGCTCCAGCCCCCAAGCAGCCGTGTTTATTCTGGGCGAAAGTACACGTGCGGCTGATTGTGGCCTGACTCGTTTGTGGGGCCACACCTGGGTCTCTCGGGGCCTGCTCGGCCCCACCTGAGCCACTTCCAAATTGGTGCGTGTTTCCAGAACCTTCCAAGACTCCAGAGCGCCGCCCACTCATCAACCACCACCAACTCCGGTTAGGCTCTTTGCCTCTTTTGTGGGGTGCAGGCCCACCAGGGGGCCCTCCTGTCTCCCCAGCATGGGGCAGATGTCCTGCACCCCTGTCCCGGCCCAGACTGAAGTGGGGAGTCTGGGATATCACAGGGCTGGAGGCTCTGTGTGTCCTTTTCGTGTGGGGGAACCAGGAACTCTGGGGGGCCGCCTCATTGCCTCTGGTGGGCGTGACCCTTCCCAGCAGGCGCCAGGCTCAGGCCCTCTTTGGAAGGTCTGAAGCTGCCCCCCAGTCACGGTACGCCCCCCAGGCCACGGTACCCCCCACCCAGGTCACGGTCGCCCCCGCCCTGTAGGCCGTTCTGCCCCCCAGCCCCAGCCCCACTGATCTGAGCCCAGAAGCCGGCAGTTGTGCAGAGGTGTCTGGAGTGTAGACGCGGGTGTCCACACTGCCTGCTTGCTCTGCCATCAGAGGGAGGCCAGTGCCTGGCTCTGCCCCCTCAACCTGTCTGGACCCACGGCACAGGGAGGGCCCGATCTTAGGACACTCGTGTCACTGCCTGGGGTTCCGGGAAGGACAGATGGACGGAGAGGGAGGGGATAGAGAAGAGGGAGGAAGGGAGAGTGGGAGGGGAGAGGAGCAGCAGAGAGGCAGCGGGAGGAGGCGGAGGGCGCAGGGCAGGCTGGCAGAACCTCGCGCTCACCGGTCCTCACCCTTCCTCCCCCCCGCAGCCAAGTACCCGGCGCTCAAGGCGCTGATGCGGCCGGACCCGTGGCTCAAGTGGGAGGTGCTGGCGCTGGTGCTGGCGCAGCTGCTGGCGAGCTGGCTGGTGCGCGGGCTGGCGTGGCGCTGGCTGTTCTTCTGGGCCTACGCCTTCGGCGGCTGCGTGAACCACTCGCTCACGCTGGCCATCCACGACCTGTCGCACCACGCCGCCTTCGGGCCGAGCCGCGCGGCGCACAACCGCTGGCTGGCCGTCTTCGCCAACCTGCCCGTGGGGGTGCCTTACTCGGCCTCCTTCAAGAAGTACCACGTGGACCACCACCGCTACCTGGGCGGCGACGGGCTGGACGTGGACGTGCCCACGCGCCTGGAGGGCTGGCTCTTCTGCACGCCGGCGCGCAAGCTGCTGTGGCTGGCGCTGCAGCCCTTCTTCTACTCGCTGCGGCCGCTCTGCGTCCACCCCAAGGCCCTGACGCGCATGGAGGTGCTCAACGCGCTCGTGCAGCTGGCGGTCGACGCCGCCCTCGTCGCCCTCTGGGGCTTCCGGCCCGTGGTCTACCTGCTGGCCAGCACCCTGCTGGGCCTGGGCCTGCACCCCATCTCGGGCCACTTCGTCGCCGAGCACTACATGTTCCTCAAGGGCCACGAGACCTACTCCTACTACGGGCCCCTCAACTGGATCACCTTCAACGTGGGCTACCACATGGAGCACCACGACTTCCCTAGCATCCCCGGCCGCAACCTGCCCCTGGTAGGTGGGCGCGGGGGCGGGGGGAGGGGAAGGGGTGGCTGCGTCCCTGTATGGCCAGCTCGGGGAGCGGCAGAGCGTGCGTGCAGTGGGCGGGGCGTGAAGTGTCGGGAGGAACATGGAGCGTGCAGTGATTGGAGGAACACGAGGCAGTGGGCAGGGCACGCAGCTATTGGACCATGAGGGAGTGGGCGGGGTACGCAGTGATTGGAGGAACACAAGGTAGTAGGCGGGGCGTCAGGTAGGGGCGGGACATGCAGTGTCAGGAGGAGTGTGGTGATTGGACGAACATGAGGCAGTAGGCGGGGCATACAGTTATCGGCCCATGAGGCAGGGGGCGGAGCGTGCAGCCTTCAGCAACCATACGTGCAGGTTTCTCTGCAGATTGTGCCTGGCAGGTAGACGCCTACCGGGCTGGCCTGCCGTCACCCACGTGCACAGACGTTTGTGTTTGTGAGTGCCTGGCTGGGTGTGCTGCCCACACCCCACTGCTGAGGTCCAGCACTGCTCCTACACCCGCCCAGGTCCACTGTGCGCCTGGCCCACTGCCCCCTTTCACAGGGGAGGGTGGAGGCCTGGAGGGTGGTGCCCGCTTCGGGAGCAGAGCGCTGGGTGGAGCGCTCATTCTCCAAACATCCCACGGGCTGCTGCGGGAAACCCCCAAGGCAGGCCAGAGGGTGGGCACGGCTGGGACAACAGGACTCACCCCTGCTCAGAGCCTGCAGGGACGGGGCTGTGGGCACTGGATCCCGCCCTTGGTAACCTCTGCCCTCCCCCACAGGTGCGGAAGATTGCGCCGGAGTACTACGATCACCTGCCGCAGCACCACTCGTGGGTGAAGGTGCTGTGGGACTTTGTGTTCCAGGACTCGATGGGGCCCTACGCCCGGGTGAAGCGGGTGTGCGAGCTGGCAGAGGACGGCCTGTGAGCTGGGCAGCGGCCGCCCCGTGGTCTGGCTGCATTTGGTTCCTCCGCCCTGGACGTCTGCTTGTGTCCACAGAGCCCCAGGACTGGCCTGGACACTGCCATGTGCAGATGTGGCCCAAAACTGGGCTGGCAGGGGGCTGAGCTGGGGCTGGCGGGGCCGTGCCCCTGGACGAATCTGCCCACACTGCGGCCCCTCTGCGCGCCCCACACCAAATTAAATGCACCCCCTTGAACTGTGCTCCTGCCTGGGGTGTCAGAGCCTCTTTGCACCCCGTCCTGCCTTCCGGGGGGGCTGACCTGGGGGTGAGCAGCAGCAGGCCCTGAAGACCCTCATTCCCCTCCTCAGGGTTCTTCCCCTCCTCTTCCCCACACCCCACCTAACTCCTGCCCCCGGCACAGCCTGCTGCAGAGGGTTTGGCTGAGTCCCGAATGCAGGCTTGCCCCCGGGTCTGACCCCCCAGCGGGACAGGCCACTGGTCAGCAGCTGGAGGCTGGACAGCAGGCTAAGGCCTGCAGGGTCTTGGGACTGCACGGAGAGGCTTGCCACCTGCCGGACTCTGAGCCGGACCTTCCGGTCTAGGCTGGGAGTGGCGTCCTGCAGGCAGCTGTTCCCGGCTAGTTGAAACGGGGGGAAGAGGCCCTGGCCCCCCGGCTCGGCCGGGCAGCTCTGCCTGGGCTTGGTCCTTCTCCATGGATTCCTGGCCCGTCCGTGGGGGGCCTGTTGGATCCCACCCACCAGGGCCCACCCAGGAGGCGGGACCGGGTACCCCATGCCCCTTCCCCCGAGCAGAGGCCAGCCGCGTGGACAGGAACCGTTTATTACACGGACACGACACGCCCGCCCCCACCTGCCTCATGCGAGACCACTCCCGAGGAGGGGAGCGCCCGCCGGGGGTGGGGGGGCCTTCTAACCCCAAAGACGGACACTTAAATAAGCGAATCAAGTACAAAAAGGCGGGTGGCGGGTCGGCGGCGGCGGGGTCCTCCGGCTGTCCTGCGCCTCCCGCGGCGGCTCCGGGCTCTAGGAGGTGCTGACCCCGCTCAGCTCCTGCCTGATGGCTGCGGCACACGGTGGGGTGGCTCAGCGCAGGCGCCCAGGGCCCGGCCCCCAGGGGTCCCAGGTGGACTCTTGGGACAACCACGTCCCGGGGACCCCTCCCGTTTCTCGAGCCAAGCCTGGGGAGTGGGGGAGGTACCTCGGAGGCCCTGAGCAGTGGCCTGTCTGAGGGTGGAGGCCTGGGGTCCTTCCTCCTTCCGGGAGGCCCCCCTCCGCCCCGCCTGGGGTCACCCTGACACTGGGCCTCCTCAGAAGGGCCCGCTGCCTGGCCTTCCTGCTCCGTTGGCCGGGGGAGCCGTCCACCGCGGCGGCACCCCAGATGGAGGGGGGTTGCCGAGCACCCCAGCCGGGCCCCTGCAGACAGGCTGGTGTTTGCCCCTCCCCAGCCTGGCTCTGGCCCCCCGGAGGGTTGAGTTAATGGTTGGTCTGTGCCCTGCATTCATTAACTCCTTATCTGAGTGGCTCAGGGCGGCTGGACTAGCCAAACAGGAAGCCGGGCCCAGTAGGGGCAAGGCCAAGGGCAGGGCTAGGTTGAGCGTCCCCGCTCTGGGCAGGGGGTCGGGCGGCCCCCGCCCCTCCTCTCGCTGCAGCCCCCCCACCTGCCCGGCCCTTCCCTTTCCTCTGGCCGCACATCTGAGGAGCGGGCGGGGGCCGGAAGCCGGGGCGATTCTGTGGACAGGGCGGTTGGGGGGGGGTTGCCAGCTGCCCGGTGCGAAGCTGAGGCTCCGGGGCCCCGCGGGCGCCCCCACTCACCGTCAATGATCTCCTCCTTCACTCGGTGCAGCTCCCGGACCACCTCCTCCAGGATCTCCTGCAGGCCAGAGTGTGAGGCAGGGTACCCCCCCCCCCCCCCCCCAGCCAGCCCCTCCCCATTGGGAGCTCGAGGCACCGGGGTAAACCGCAGACCCCCTCCTTTGTGGTCTGGGCACCCCTGGACTGGGGGTCTGGGCCTCGGGGCGGGGGCCACTTGCCTGCTTCATTCGGTCCAAGTCGAAGGCGTCCAGGGCGCCGTCGCTCACGCTGCCTGTCGGCTTCACCCTGGTGGGGCGGGGCGTACAGTGGGGGTGGCTGGCAGGTGCCCCCCTCGGGGCAGATCCCTTGCGCTCTGCCCTTGGGGGTCCCTGCCCCCTCCTGGGGGCGAAGCGGCAAGCCCAGAGCTGGCCCTGGGGCTGGAGGGAGCAGTGCTCGGACGCGAGTGTTCGGAGGAGCTTCCGCCAAGGAAGCAGCAAGTAGCTTCGCGTGGGGGTGCGTGTGGCCCCCAGTTCCTGCTGGTCCCGGGCCGAGCGACTGTGGCGTTTCCACAGCTGTGGGCAGCCCCAGGGCCTGCACCAGCTGCTCTGGAAATGTGCTCCTCCGTGACAGGGCTTGGGGTCTGTGAAGGGCACCTTAAGTGTGTGCACACCGGTGGGTGGGGATGCCCGCCCCTCGGGCCCTGGGAGAGCCGTGGCTGCGGGCCCGATTCCCGGCACTGCACCCTGGAAACCTCACAGAGGGGCCAGCCTGGCTGGAGGCTTCAGGACCACAGAGCACCTCTTGGGAGCCTCCAAACCTCCAATAAAATGCAGGGTCTCACGCACAGGAGCCCCCTGGGAAATCTTTTTTCTTTTTTCGTCACACCCTGAAATGCACAGGGGTTACTCCTGGCTCTGCACTCAGGAATTACTCCTGGTGGTGCTTGGGGGACTATTTGGGATGCTGGGAATCGAACCCAGGCTGGCCACGTGCAAGGCAAATGCCCCACCGCTGTGCTATCGCTCCCCCGGCCCCTGGGAAATCTTGGCAAAGATTCCACTAAGCTTCTCGGGCAGAACCGAGGCGTGACTGGCCAGGCCCAGCACTAGAGTGTGTGGTCCTGGCACCAGCTGGCAACGAGGGTAATGAGGGAAGTGGGACCGGTAAAAGCAGGGCACGGCCTCGCTGAAATGAGCAGAAGCGCCCCTGGGTTCATGCACCGAGGAAATGACGTCCCCAAGGACACCAGCCCTGTCCCCGTGTCCCTGCATAACAGTTAGAGCCAAGAGAGAAGGGACTGTGGCCAGCAGCAGGCACTGTGGCCACCACGCCGAACGGCTGAGGGGACAGCAGGTGGAAGGTGCCCAGGCCCTGGGGACGGGGAGGGGGGGGGCGGTCCCCGGGGTTGTGACTTCTGAGGGTCTCTCCTGGGGGTAGGCCGGAGACCAGGGAGCAAACAGGGTTCACCTGGGGGACTCTAAGCGCCTGTCCTGCCCCCAGGCACAGGGCAGACCCATGGCTCTGTCGCCCTCCGGGGCTGTCATCCCCCCAGGGCCAGTCACACTAGACGGCAGTCCTGGACAAGGGCAGGACACGCTGGCCCGCTAGCCTCGCCTTTCCTCTGGCTTTTCCCGCCGTCCGAGGCCCGGAATGTCCGGCCCCTCCTGGCCCACAGCCTGGATCCTCGTGCACGGGAAAACGCGGGGTGGCAGGAGACCGGACACAGGAGAGCGGCCGCCACAGCCTGGGAGGCACAGCTGCCCATCCCCTCCCGCCCCTCCCGCCGTGTTAGCGCAGGTCGCGAGCCGGCGGTTAGTCCTGGGGCAGCGGCCCCGCAGGGTCGGTACCTAGAGTGAGGCTGTGCCTGAAGGGGGCTCTTAGCTTCGGGGCTCTTGGCCGTGGACGGGGTTCTACGCGGGGAATAAACAGACACGTGAGTCGGTGGCGGTCGCCTCCCCGCCGTGCCCGCGCCCGCGCCCCGCCAGGCTCACCTGGTCAGCAGCGAGGACACCGGCTTCTCCACCGAGTTGCTCCGCTCCCAGGGCTTCCGGCCAGCCTCTGCCGATGGACGGGACTCAGTGGACCACCCCGGGCCCCGCTGCCCGCCCGCAAAGCTCAGGCCTGGGGGGTCTGTCGGAGCCAGACGCTGGCCCGCCCTGAGACCAGGCAGCCCCTGGAGGGGTGGTGGCACTCATGTCACATGCACACGCCACACGCACACATCCACTGCATGTGTGTCCATATACTCAGACACAGGCACATACCATGCACAAATGCTCATGCACGTATCACACATCAGGTCCACGCACGCACACGCAGACATGTACATGCCACATGCAAACATTATATCCACACATATATGTATACACTCAAATACACACACCATGTACAGATACTCATTCGTATATCACATGTCAGACTCACACACATGCAGACACATATACATGCCACCCACACACATAACCACACATGTATAAACTCAGACACACACACTCAAGCATGTATCCCATCATATCTACATACATGTACACATATAAAGACATACATGCCACACACATCATATCCACGCATATATGCAGGCACATACACATAAATAACGGGCTGGAGCGATAGCACAGCGGTAGGGCGTTTGCCTTGCACGCAGCCAACATGGCCGACCCGAGTTCGATTCCTCCGCCCCTCTCGGAGAGCCCGGCAAGCTACCGAGAGTCTTCGATATGCCAGACACAGTAACAACAAAGTCTCCAATGAGACGTTACTGGGTCCGCTCGAGCAAATCGACGATCAACGGGAGGGCCTTTACCTTTACCTTTTACACATAACGTCTAGATACTCGTGCATATGCCACACATCATGTCCACACACGTATATACATACACACATAGACAGATACTAAAAAATGCTACACACATCATATCCACACACATATGCAGGCACATATACAGATATACATCACATACACACATACCTACAGTATACATATACTCATACCTACAATATACATATACTCAGAGATACATACCATATACAGATCCATCACATGCACATATCATATACCCAATAGTCCATAATACTCAGTCACAGACACATACCACACACACAGGTACTTGTAGACACACTTCATATACCCACACGCACACTCATCCTTTACGTGCATCATACCACACACACACACATCAGCCACACATATCTATCTGTACACTCATACGTCATATACATGTACTTAAAAATCACATACACGGATACTCACACACATCATATACTCATATAGATAACATACATACATCATGAACTCAAACATTTATTCACACATAACACACACATAAAAATACACAAATCATACACATATACACTCACCACATACTCATAACCTATACTACATATTATATACATTCAGACAATCATCCACATACACAACACGACACAAACAGAGCTAAACATATAGCCCCTCACATGCACATACATGCATCATATACACTTTATATACATATCACATGCACAGACATACTCAGATACATGCACATTACATATACAAAAACAAATGTTATACTAACATACACATGTCATATGCAGATAATACACACATGTGCATTCACGCTCACTCGAACACACTCACAGAAAGCTAGACACATACACATGCTCATACACACACACACGGAGACCCTCCTCCCCCAAACGCCGCGCGATTCTGCACCTGCTCCACACGCCCTGCCTGGCCCTGGGTCCTCTCCCATGGCACGCGGGGTGGGAGTGGGTCTCCTGGAAGGTGCCAGGGATGCTCTCGTCCCGTGTTGGGGGCTCCCGCTCTGTACCCCCACACTGCAGTGACCCGGGGAGCAGGGCAATGCATCCTGCTGCCGCGCAAGGCCCGGGCTCCTGCGTGCTGCCCCCTCGGCTGGGGACCCTCTGCACGCACCCACCTGGGCACTGTCCCGCAGCGGGGAACACCGGCCCCTCGCAGGGCTGGTGGGATACCCTAGGACACGGGCCCACAAGTGGGTGACTGAGTTCCTGGGCCCGGCCCCTGGCTCCTGGCACAGCGGAAGGGCTGCCGGACTGAGCGACCCTCCCACGGGGCCACTGCAGCCTTGTTCTCTCCCCGCCAAGCCAGGACGGGATGTGTCCTGTAGGGAGTCTGGGACTGCGGTCACCTGAACAGTGACAGCCCTGTCCCCAGACACCCCATGGTGGCAGCTGGAGCTGCAGTCCAGAACGGGGAGAATGTGGGGCTGCCGAAGCAGAGTCCCAGCCCCCGCCCACTCCTGGCCCACCTGCAGACTTCCCGCCCGTCCCCTGTCACCATGTCCTACCTGCGGGGGTCGGGGTCTGGCTGGTGGCGCGGCCCCCTGGAGACAGAGAGGTGCTCGGCTCTTCCTGAAAGGAGAGGGTCGTTACCCCAAACCTCAGCTCCCCCATTCCCTAAAGGACACACCTGCCTCCAGGCGAGTAACCTAGCAGGAGCCCACCTTAAATCGGAAAACCCCAAATCTTGGGGGGCGGCTGACTGGGGGGCAGGGGGCGACTTCTGCATGGCCCGAGGACCCCAGGGCACACTAGCTCCATGGTCACCGCAGACCTTGAGGACAAGGGCATGGCCTTCCAGGCAGCGACGCAGGCCTGGGCTGTGGCGAGGACCCCAATGAAGGTGAGGGGACCTCGGGTGGGGGTCTTGGATGGGGCGAGAGCCCCCCGAAGGCCAGGCCTGTGTGGGAGTCCGGGCCCACCTGTCTCCCACTGAGGGGCAGGAAGCCGTGCTCCACCTCCAGCCTCGGGACCCCCCAGGACCACCAACACCACAGCCGAGGGGTCCTCACGGTGTGTCCCCACCCTGTGCTTGCCCACATGGCCTGATGGCAGCTGCTATGGGAGCGTCCTGCAGGTGGGCAGCTCACAGCCTATGCTGGACTGGGGGTGCGGCTGGCTCGTGCCCCCTTAGGGTACGTGGGTCTGGCAGGAAGGACATGGAGAGGCAGGAGGCCAGCAGGCCAGCGTGGGGACAGATGGAATCCACGCTCTGGCTCAGCGCCCCCTGTAGGGAAGACTCCATGGTGCAGACACACTGGCCCCATGTGCGGGTACGACTGGGCCCGGGGCGCCCCCTGCTGGCACGGGGCGGTAGTGCCCTTGGCTGTGCAGCCTCAAGTTGGGTCCGGCTGGGGACAGAATACCCGCACCCCAGAGTCACCGACAGCAGGAGCCAGGGCAGCAAAGGGTCCTGCCGTTCCCGGATGCCCCGGGCCAGACTCCAGGGCTCTCCCCTTGGGGTTCCCACCCCTCCCGGGAGGGTCCAAGACTCACCATCTGGGCCTCGTCTTCCTTCCGGTCGACGGGCTTGTCCGTCTGGGAAGCGGCTTTTCTCCTGGCATGGGACCACGGGGCGGGCATCAGACATCCGTGAGGCTGCCCATCCTCATGCCCGTGGGTGGGACATGGTGGAGCCTGACCCTCACCTGGGACCCAGACCCACCTGCGTCCCCCCCCAGCACGCCCCATCCCCCAAACCTCGGCAGCACCCACAATCCCCCGCCCCGCTCTGCTCCCGGGACAGGAAACTGAGGCACGGTTGACCAGGCCCGGGTCAGAACCCCTCTGAGTCCCCCCTGCCCCCTTGTGCCGCACGTGGCGTCCAGCTGGTGCCCACCTCTTGGCCAGCAGCTTGTTCATCTCCTCCATGAGGCCGCCCCCGCCGCCCCCGCTGCTGGCCCGGCTGCCGTCGGACCTGGCGCCTCCGGATGCGTCTTCAGGCTGTGGGGAAGGACCCGGGGCCGCCTCAGGGCCCGTGGCACGGCCGGGCCGGCAGGGGCACAGCCAGAGGCTCCCGGGCCAGGACCTCAGTCCCCTCAGCGCCCACGGGCACCCACACTCTCCCTCCCTAGGGGTCCCGCAGGGGTGCTGACGCTCAAGGGTCCCGGGCGGAAGTTCCGTGAGGACCCCCTGGGCCTTACCCGCTGGACCCGCCTCAGCTTGGCCCCGGCCAGGGCGGCCGCCAGCCCAGACACAGAGTTCTCGTCGTGGCTGGCACCCTGGGCGCCTCCGGCAGGCAGTGGAGGGGGCGGCGGGGGCGCAACCCCCGTGGGTGGAGGTGGGACGGGGGGCGGGGGTGGGGGCGGAGGCCCAGTACAGGACAGGGGGGCGCTGGCTGTGGAGGGGTGCCCCGGCGGGAGGATGGGTCCTGCGAGGAGAGAAGGGGCCCGTCAGCACCCGCACCGCCCCCCCCCCCCCCGTTACAGGAAACTGAGGCACAATTGGCCAGGCCAGGGTCGGACCCCCCTCTGAGGCCTCGGTGGATGCTGGTTCCCCCAGGGTGACACCCAGCCCCAGGGGACAGACCTGGTCAGAGCAGGGCGGGCACGGCCCTGTGCTCTCCCACTGGCCACCACCCACACCCACAGCCACCTGGCCCTGCCCCAGTCGTGTGACGGAGCGGGGGTCACTGAGTGCCACAAGGGTCACTGAGTGGCACAGGAATGCCGGGTTGTGAGTGGGGTGTGGGGATGGGCTCCGGCAGCCCCGTGCGGCCCACCTGCCCCCGCGCCTGGAGACGGGAGAGCAGTGGCCCGAGAGGCTGGGGGGCAATGAGGCGGGGGGCTGGGGGCAGGGCAGAGGGACGTGGAGGGGTCGTGTCACTGGCTCACCGGGGGCCGAGGCTCTTCTCTCCAGGGAGTCCTGGCGCTGCTGCTGCTCCATCACCTGCCTGGAACAGAGGGCAGAGACTCTGACGCCCGATGCCCGCCACCCGCGGACCCTGCCAGAGCTGGGGCAGGCCCGGCTGTGTCGTGCTCCCAGCTGTGGTCTCGGGACCCCCGTGACCGTGGCTCCCGGCCTGGCAGCACACTAGAGACAGTGCCTGCGCTGGCGCTCTGGGGCCCTGAGGACGCGGGGCTGGGCTCTGAGGGGTCAGCAGCCAGGGCCGGGGGGAAAAGCCCCAGGGGAGGAGAAGACGGTGCTGGCGAGCATGTGGAGGGCGCAGCTCAGGTCATGTGGACAAGGTCACTGGGTGGGATCGATGCCCGGTGTCCCTCCTCCAGGGCTTTTCTGGGCATAATGGCAGGGCCTGGGGGCCTCCCAGGGGCTGCAAGCACCTGCCTGGGTTTCTCTGTGCACCGGCCACGCCACGACGCCAAAGCCCACCCCAGCAGGGCCCAGGCACTGAGACTTTGGAAAGAGGGAAAGTCAGCCGTGGGCAGCTGTGGGCAGAGGTCGAAATCTGGGAACTGAGGCGTCACCTCGCTGGCCTGCTCCTCCCTCAGACTGGCCAGGACAGGACCGAGCTCACAGTCCACACACTGACCACCAGGGGGCCGTGAGGCTCAGTGGTCAGTCCCAGTCCTGGGGTGCTGTGCATCCCGCCCCCCGCCCCCGAGGTGGGTGAGAGGCAGCCCAGGTATGAAACTCTACGGACTAGTCCAGCCCCCTTCCCGCAGGCAGGCACTGTCTGTCACCCTGAGTGTGGGCCCTCAGCTGCCCCACCCCAGGCTCAGCTGTGTCCGACCTTCTCTGGAAATCCATCTCGTCAGGGGACGGTCCATTCTGCAGCGGCCGCTGGCTGGAGGGGCCTGGGGGGCAGAGAGTAGAGAGCACGGCGGTGAGGGGGGCCCGGCTGCGGCCCCCCAGTCGTGCCCACCACCCCGTCTCTCCATCTCTTGGGACTCGTCCCTTGGGGACACCCCCCACACCCGCTTTTTTTTTTTGCTTTTGTTTCTGGGCCTCTCTCAGCAGTGCTCCGGGTTCTTGCAGCTGGGTGCGGATAAGTGCACAGCCCTGAGCCACCTCTCCGCCCTGGGGTCCCGTCCCTCACGGGTTCAAACCACCAATTTTTTTCTTTTTGGGTTACACCCGGCGATGCACCAGGGTTACTCCTGGCGGTGCTCAGGGACCATATGGGATGCTGGGAATTGAACCCAGGTTGGCCGCATGCAAGGCAAACGCCCTACCTGCTGTGCTGTCGCTCCAGCCCCTCAAACCACCTTCTTACCCCCATCCTCCCACTGCACTCGCTCGTCCACACCTCCTGGCACTGTCCCGGATTCTAACACGGGCTCTGGAGCCCGTTAGTTGGGGGGCCGCCTGTGGGCAGCAGTGCCCAGGGACACGGCACCCGCCAAGTGGGAGTGTGTGTGGGGCAGACGTCGCAGAGATGGCTGCCCACCCCCCCGGGACAGTGAGGGTACTTCCTGACCCATGCTGGTTCACCTCCAAGGGCCCAGCGAGGCTGCCACCCCCACTCCCCGGCTGCGTTCACCAGAACCGCCCGGGCCCCACGGCCTGGTTCTGGCTCCGTGCCACCCGCCTGGGTGCTCAGGAAGCCCCCACTCCCATTGCCGGGGGCTGGCCTCAGACTGGCTGGGTCTGCACTGGCTGTTCCGGCCGTGCTGCCCCCCATGACAGAGGGTCCCGGCCCTCTCCAGCATCAAGTTCCCGGGCTATGGGCAGAACTCTTTCCCGCATGTGGCTTCGAATCCCAGCACCCCTAGGGTTCCAGAGACCCACCAGGAGTGACCCCCAACAGAATGAAAACCAACAAATCTTCTTTTCCTCTTGGGAGGTGGCTACTAGTGGTAAGGCTCAGGCTTTGTGCATGCGAGTCCTGAGTTCGATCCCTGCCACTGCACTGTCCCCCAGCAGCAGCCTGGCGGCGGGGGGGGGGATGAGCTCCACACTGTTCCCAGCCGCGCCAGGTGAGGCCCCCAAACTGCCTTTCTGACCCCAAGCAGCCTGTGCAGTGCAGGCCTCTGACGCCAGAGTAGAGGAGACAGACACTCCCGGTCACGGTAACGCCAGGATGAGGGCTCGCCGCCGTGTAGGCCAGGCCGCCTGTGGAGTGTGAAGTCGAGGGGACTGACACGCGGGGTTCCGGGCACAGCCCAGAGGCGCGGGGCAGGGCCAGGCGCGCGGCAGGGACACCGTGCTCAGGCCCTACCCCTCCCCCCCTCCCCGGCTCAGTTCCCCCCCACTAAGGTCTGTGGCCTCCAGGGGGTTCAGTCTCCGGCCTGACTGCGGGGCCGACCCCTGGCCCTTGGGAGGAGCTGCACCCAGGACCCCAGAACTCGGCTGCCCGCTTCCTGCACGGCAGTAGCGGGGTGTCACGGTGAGGAACACAGTCCCGCCACAGTGGGCACAGGCCCCCACCCTCTCCCTGGCCGGTGCATCTGTCAGCGAGAAGGGACACACAGGACTGTCCCTGCCATCCTCAGAGTCTCCCCTGTCCTTGGGGCCCTCCTGATCCCCCTCTCAGGGAGATGCTGCCTGTCCCCTGTTCCCTTTGCCTCCTGGGGTGCTGTTTGCGGCTGGAATCCCAGGCCACCGAGACACGGCCCAGGCCCAGCCGTCACGGACCTCGCAGGGTCCCGAGGTTCCCAAGCGGGGAGAATCCGGAAGGGACAGAGTGAACTGGCCCAGCTGAGAATCCACAGGGCCTGGGGGCCGCCATGCTGCTTCCACACGGAGGCAGCCGGCTTTGGCGGGGGGGGGGGGGGGGGGAACGACGACGAAGGACGGGACAGCGCCCCCTGGTGGCCCACCACGTCAGGTCCAGCAGGGATAGACAGGGCTTGGGAGAAATGAGGTGGTCTCTTGAGGCCCCTGGAGGGACAGGGTGGACCAGGTCACAGGGGCAGGACATGGGGAGGGGACTGGGAAGAGGCAGGTAAGCACGAAGGTCTCTGGGGCTCCCCACTAGCGACCCCTCCAGTATGAACACGGGGTGGGTGGCGCCTGCATCCCCTCGTTTGCCGGGGGTCTTGAGTCACCCTTCTCGGGGACACTGTCCATCCAGGACCCGGTCTCTCCAGCTCGGGGGTGGGGAGCCATATAGCAGATGATGCCCTGTGGGGACTGGGGGGGCGGGCACCCCGTCCCCCACCCATTAACATGCATGAGGCTGGGGACAGGGACAGGTCAGCTTACAGGGAGCTGCGGGAAAGGCCTCCCGGAGCCGTGGAACCTGAGACAGGAGCCCGGGACCGGCCACCTGCTCGGCTGGCCTGAAGCCAGGTCCTCTCGGGGTGTCCGCGGCTTCCGGCCCTGTTCCCCACCCCGGACTCCAGCGTTTGGGGGTGCTCGGTGGGGTGGGTGGGAGCTCTGCCCCGAGTACAGGGCAGTGGGGTTCCCCGCCAGTGTGGGCTCACAGCAGGCCAACCCCCCCCAGCTCCTCACCCAAGACTTGGGTGAAAACTTCTGCGGACCCTGTCTTCACTCCCCCTCCTCAGCCCTGCCTGCCTCTTCCCTCCCCCTCCCCCTTCTTCACCCGCCCGTCTCATGCCCATACCTGCCCGCCTCATCCTTCCTCTCCTCACCCCCGCCCTCACCCCTGTCTGTCTTACACCAATCCACCCGCCTCAACCCCCTCCTCACCCTACCCAATCTCATCATGTGCCAGGCCCTGACCCCCTCTTCTCCCCTCCCCCACTCCCTGGGCCCGCTGCGGCTTCAGCTCCCCTTCAAGCCCAGGCTGGCACCCCTGACTCCCGGTGGCTGGCAGCCTACAGGGTGGTGCAAGGAGGCATGAGCAGCCGCCCTCCAGCCCAACACCAGAGTGGGGGGCCTGCAGGGGACCCCCTTCCAGCCACCCTCTGTGAGCAGAGCAGAGCAGAGGGGCCCTGAGACCCAGGGAAAGGGGGCGACTTGCCCAAGCTTCCAGGTTAGGACACACCAACTGCCCGGCCAGTCACTGTCCCTCTGGAACCCTGTCCCTCCCGGGGAAGTTGTCCACCGCGACGGGCTCAACTGCCCCTCACGATGACGGGGGCTGTCGTCACCTGTGGGTGGAGACCCTCTGGTGGGTGCATGGGGACACAGGCACAGCGGCACCGCCCAGCTGCACAGATGCCGGCACCCCGTCCCCACACTGCCCAGCTGCATAGATGGCACCAAGACTGAGAGCAGTGACAGGCACTGTCCCCAAAGGGCCCCACACTGACAGTCATGGGGGGAAGGGGGCGGGGGTCACCCACAGCTCACTGTAGTGGGGACAGAGATGGGGTGTGGGGATAGCGGGACGGGGCCACCGACAGCCGCTCAGCGGGGGCAGGTGGGGAGTGGGGAGAGGGGACGGGGCCACCTACAGCTCACTCTGCAGAGCACGGTGCAGTCGCAGTGGCAGAAGCAGAAGCAGTGGACGGTCCACTCCCTGCAGACCCCCCGGGCGGGCCCCAGGGCGCATTCCCCGGGCTCTGCGGCGCGCATCCTGGCCACCTACCTGCGCTCCGGCCGCCCGCCCGCCGTCCTGTAAGCGATCCGCCGCTGCCTGGAGCGGCCCGGGGGGCGTCAATCTTTAATGAGGCTCCCCGGCCAACCTATGGGAGCTGCCGGGGAGGGGGCGCTCGGAGGAATCCCAGGGGGCTCTTGTCGGCCCCGGGAAGGTTCCTCGGCCTTCCCGGCTCTGCGGCGAAGCTGGCGGCCGTGGGACACTCGCAGGAGGGCGGGAGACCCTGACTTGCCGTCCACTCACTCACGCCTACTCCGCACTCGCGGTCCCTCCTGGCAGAGCTCGGGGACCTGACCCGCAGCAGGGATTAAACCCGGGCTGGGGGGGCTGGAGCGACAGCACAGCGGGGAGGGTGTTTGCCTTGCATACGGCCGACCTGGGTTCGATTCTCAGCATCCCATATGGTTCCCCTGAGCAACGCCAGGAGTAATTCCTGAGTGCAGAGCCAGGAGTAACCCCTGAGCATCGCTGAGTGTGACCCCCCCCCAAAAAAAAGCAAAAAAAAAAAAACCCCCCAAAAAACAAAAAAACAAAACCATAAACAACCCGGGTTGCCCCATGCAGGGCAAGCACCCTGCCCGCTGTCCCCACGGATCCCCCACGGCCTCCCCACACCTATTCCTGGGCCCTCTGGCATGCAGCCCAGGGTGCAAGAACCCCAAGTGGCCACGACAGGTGAGGCCAAGAGAACCCTGGGTCTGTCCAGATGGTGGGACGCTGCTCAGGCGAGCTGGCAGACGGAGCTACGCGAGGGGGACAGAGACCCCCGCCCCCCAGTCGGCTCACACTCACGGTCAGCAGCGGCCAGCCCGGCCAGGCCAGCCCTCTGTGCCCCCAGCACAGGCTAGCAGGGGAGGTGGGGTAGGGGGACAGAGCTGGGGCGGGGGGCAGCTGGACGGTGGTCGGAAGTGGGAGAGCAGTCCCGGGACCCCAGGGCATAAGCACTCTGAGCACAGTGAAACCAATGGCATCTCCTGGCACCCAACGCAGAGCACACTCGGCCTCAACCCCCAGCTCCCGAGGCAGCCCACGGCCCCACCCCCGTCCGGCACCTCTGCCCAAGGGCCAGCAGCCTGCCCCTGCAATGACCCCCCGCAAGCCACAGCCAGCGCGGTGAGCTCTCCACGGGCGTCGGTCCCAGGGGCAAATACTGAAGAGAAACCAGAGGACAACAGGCTGCCGGACAGGAGGTGTGGACAGGTCACCCCCGCCCCGCCCACCCCGCACCCTTCCACACCCCCCACTCCACCAGACCCCCCTCCCCCCAGCTGGAGGTGTGCGGCGCCGAGGCTGGGAGGACCAAGGTGACGGGTGCGATTTCTGTGTGAGACAATTCCATTGGCCATGTCCCTCAATCACAGATGGCACCCCTCACCTTGAGCCCAGGTCTGCAGGCTTGAGCGCGCAGGTCTGTGGCCGTCCTGGTCTGCAGCCCCCGCTCCACGCCTCCCTCCCACCTGCTGGGGCCTCGGGAACACACACAGGCCAGCCGGGAGAGCGCCTGCAGGGGTTCCAGCCCCGGAATCCCATGTGGTGCCCCGAGCACCACCAGGAGTGAGCCCTGAGTGCAGAGTTGAGAGTGACCCCGCGCACCGCCAGGTGTGACCCCCCCACTCCCAAACAGAAATGAAAATCCAGAGAGGCGCTGCGAAGGTGCAGACGGGAACTGGAATGTCTCAGGGTGGGGGCGGCCCCGTGGCCACTGCGAGCACAGCTGGAAGCAGTGTCCCAGGTACAGGCACCCACCCTGGCCTCCCAAGCCCGCCCTCACCAGCACCCAGAACCCCAATCGCTGTGACGCGTGGCCAGCGGTCGTGTCCACAGATGGGCCAGGACCCAGCCCCGCGAGACCCCACCGGACGGGGTTTGCCACTTGTTCCCTCCCTTCACCAACTCAGGAAGTGGACTTTAGGCCGGAACTGAAGAGGGGACATGCAAAGGTCTCAGGGGTGACCGCAGCAGAGAGAGCCCTGGCAAGTCCCCTGTGACCGGGACCGTGACCGTGCACGGTTGCCCCCGGAGAGTCAGGGGGCGCCAAGTCCGGTTTCTGGGCAACCCGCCCACAAGTGTCACGGTGCCAGGTCCGGAAGAAGCCAAGAGTCATGCCAGTGTCTGAAGGCACCCGCAGGCATAAGTGCGGATTCGACCTGGGGGTCCTGTGTCATGGGCTGTCACGAGCAGGGTCTCCCCCACGGCGGAGGGCAGGAGGGTGGATGGGGAGGGCAGGAAGCACCCGGCACCCCACTGGGCCTCGAGTCCTGACTGCCCAGGGAGGGGCTGATGTGTCCCTTTTCAAGTAAGAAAGAGTCCAGAAGCGACAAACAAGCCGACTCGGTCTCCCCAAGAACGCCCCCCTACTCCCATGGGCTTCAGAACAGGCCAAGCCAGCTCAGGCCAGTCTGGGCACCTCAGGTCCCCCTTCCCGCCCCGACAGTGACACAAGAGCTGGGCAGCCGGGAGGTCCTAGATGCCCCCCCGACCCCCTGTTTACCTGGCATTGCCCCGGAAACCGCCTCCTTTAAACAAGGGACTCCCAGCGGCACGCGAGGCCCCTTCTGCCCTACGGACGGTCCCGGCACCCTTGGGTCCCTGGTGAGTTGGAAACGGGGGGATCCCTCATCCTCAGTGGGAAGTCACTGCAGGCCGTGGTGCGGCTCTGGCCAATCCCCAAGCTCTGGCCTCCAGGGAGGGTCCAGCAGGTGCAGGATCCTGGACACCCCCCCCCCCCCGGGCCCCCTGGGCCCCTCGGAGGTCAGCCTGCGGCCATGAGCTCCTCTGAACTGCCCAACTCAGACGCGTGCCGCCCAGCGCTGCTCCCATCCTGCCAGCCAGGCCTTCGGGGTCTTTGCGTAATGCCCCCGTGGGACAGAAGCCCACCCTTACCGCAGGGCCTCCTGTCTGTGGGTCCGAAGGCTGGCGCATGTGCAGCCCTGGAACGCCACACCCACGGGGGCTTGGCACACGCCCTCCCCAGGGCCTGGCTCCCACCAGCCCGGCAAGAGGGTGCAGCGGGTCCGCCCAGTCAGTTCCTGGCACGCTCAACACACGACCGAATCCTTCCCCTCTAGAACCCGGGCAGCTGGCTCCCTGCCCTCGGCGCCCTGCGTGTACCAGAACCCGGACACGGGGGACAAAAGCAAAGCGGGCCTGGAGACAGGCCTGACACTGCCCTAGGGCCCCCGAGCGCCCCGCTTACCGCCTTCCTGGGAATTCATGATGTTCAGGGCAAACAGCATGGCGTTGGAGAAGGTGGTGGCCTCTTCCTTGCTGGCGAAGTTTAGGCCGTAGACCTGGCGGGCATCTCGCCACTGGTGGAAGGTGGGCGTGGCCTGATTATACTTCAACCCTTTGACGATTGAATAATTGATCACAACCTGGGGCGGGGGAGTGAGGGAAATTTGTGAATGAATGAAGGTCAGTGAGCTAGGGGTGGGGGGACTCTGAAGGGCGAAGCCATGGGGGTGGGAAGGTGGGTGGGGGTTCCACTAACACTCCCACACAGCAGGGCAGCTGGAAAGTGCCCTCAGAGTGACGCAATGGCGGAGTCCCAGTGTCAGGGGAAAGGTCCTGCCACCCCATCACCAAGGCCCTCACTGAGGCTCAGTTCCCCAGTGGCCCTCACTGAGGCTCAGTTCCCCTCGTTGGGGTCCACGCAGAAGGGACAGGGGAGTCCCCAGATCTGACCACAGTCTGAAGTGAGTGAGGGGGTCGAAGTGACAGTACAGCAGGTGTTTGTTTGCATGCCGCTGACCCGGGTTCGATCCCGGACATCCCACATGGTCCTCTGAGCACTGCTGGGAGTGACCCCTCAGCATAGAGCCAGGAGTAAGCCCTGAGCAAAGGCAAGGGGTGGCCCCCAAACAAACAACTTCCAACCCCCAAAATTCTAAATTAGGAAATATAATATGAGACACTGATTACAGCTGCAAAACTGGGGCAATTATAAACGTATCACTCAATTAACATTTACATGAAGGCAGAACAAAGGGGGCCAAGAGATAGTGTTACCCCAACTCTGCATCAATTCTCGAGCCCTGAGCACTGGCCAGTGCGGCCCCAAACCCAATCCCCCCACAACCACCCAAATACAGAGAGCGTGGAACAGAGCCCAGCATTCCTCTAACAGGCTTCCTGGGCTGAAGCGGTGCTAAGTGAAGGCGCGATTCCAATTCACTGGGAAGGGAATGTCCTTAGACCTCGCCACAAGGCAACGCCAACCCAGTCCCTCCAAGACCCTCCACGTGGACGCTTCAGAGTAAGGATGGCAGGACATGGCTGTCTGTCCAGGTGCTGACAGGAGGGCAGGACACGGCCATCTGCCCAGGCAGCCTCAGGACGGCAGGACACGGCGTCTGTCCAGGAGGGAGGCAGGAAGGCAGGACAAGGCCGTCTGTCCAGGCGGCCACGGGGGGAAGGGCGGGTCACATCAGTTTCTGAGTTTCGCCTTCTGTGGTGAAAGTGAAAACAGGAACAGGCGCAGGTCTGGGTGACGGCCCAGGGCTGGGCCACTGGCGTTTTAAACGGGGGTAGGGTTGTATATCACCAGAATCAGGAATGGGTGAGGGAAACACGTGCGTGGCCAGTTGCGTGGCACAAGGGCCCCCCCAACACCAGAGGGCAAGGGGGATCAGGTGGGCGGGCCAGTTGAAATCTCTCTGCAGGAAAAACAAGGTGACCCCTATGCCACCAGAAGGCGCGTGACCACAGCAGCAGAGGCCTCAGAGCGCCACAGCGGGTGTCTCTCCTCAGCTGGGCACCCACGGGTCCATGTCCCGGGGACTCTGCTGTCCTGGTCACCAGCGGCTGAGACACTTCTTCCTGCAATTCCCGTTCTGGTCAGCTCTGATGCAGGGCCCGTGTGTTCTCCACTCCTGGAGGCTTCCGGATGGCACCTGTACAGAGACCAGCGCTGCCTTCCAGACCACATGTCCCGTGTGTGGGTGCCCTGGTTCTCTGGAGCACGTGGCCAGTCTCTCTCCTCACTGCAGTGGCAGCTTGTCCAGTAGGTGCCCCGCGCCCACGGCTGGCGACCTTCGGTTGGGGCTCACTTCCACCTGCATGGCTGCCCCTCAGAAACTCTGGCCCGGAGTGTCCTGTCTTGTTCAGCTTCCGATGTGAGACTGAGTGGGCCGTGTACGATACTGACCAGAGGCTCTTGGTGGTCTCTCCCTTACGTTAGCAAAACTTCCTCAGGGGCATCATCTGGGCTTAGGGTGAACGACAGATTCCAAAACTCATCTAGTACAAGACGCTTCAACTTCTATTTACTCCTGGGTCGGGTCTGGTGAACTGTGTGTTCCAGAGAAGTCGTCTGTCTCGGCCATGCCGTCTGCGGTTCCGGCACAGGGAGTCACCGCGGGGTCTCCCACGCCCTCAGCCCGGGTGCTGCTGCTTCTTTTCCTTCATTTATTATTACATATTCCACCCCCCAAAAGGACCAACATTCATCACTCCGCACACTGCGCCTTGCTCCGTGTACATCTGCTTTCCGTTTCCTGAGCATCTTGGTTTTGAGATTCTCTTTTCCTTCTACTTCTGTTGGGTTTCAGTGTGCCGTGTTCTCTCCTGGCTTCCTGCAAAGACGGCAGCTGAGCTCACTGACGCCAGTGACAGTCTCAGAGGTGAGTGGGGCTGTTCCCTCCATGCATGGCACCCCACAGCTTTAGCTGGGGTGCACGTCCACTGCTGTTGTTCTCAAGACCTCGGTTCACACCCCTTTCTTTTTGTGCTGGGCCCAGCTTAGCCGTGTTGTGTTTCTGAACACCCGGCTCCCCTGTTCCCCTTTTGTCAGAACAAGCGCTGAGAGAGTTCGATCCGTGCGAGTCTCATGGCCCAGGGAGACAGGGAGCAGCACTCGGTAGGTGCTCAGGGCATCGGGAAGTCTGCCTATTCCCTTATTCCCTGGCTGCTGGCCACAGGGCCTGCAAACACGAATTAGGAAAAGCTGGTGAATGAGAACGGTTCACGTTTTCTAGGTCTCTGTTTATTTCTGCTCACAGTTTAGCTCTCAGGAGGCAGGGTGGGAATTCCCATTGATGCTGCCGGCCTGGCCCATCTCTCCCTTTAGATGTGTTGGTAGCCAGCAGGTAGGTACTTGAGTAATTTTCATTTAAAGCTGTTTCATCATAACATGGATAAAAAAAAAAGACTCCAGCCAATGTTGAATAAAACAGTGTTATTCTAGGACCTGGTGTCATTAACATCCCTCTGCTTAAGGTCATAGTTTTCAGGAAGCTGATGATGAATTAAAGGAGAATTTGCTACATTACTAGATGCATACGGGTTTCAGATTATTATGCTTTCCTTTCCTTTATTATAAAAAAGAGCCTTATTTATCTTCCGTAGTCCTTCTTGCCCTAACACCTATTTTGAAGGGGCGAGAGAGATTTAACCTTTGCATGTAGGAGGCCCAGGGTGATCTCTGGCACCACATGGTCCCCTGAGTACTTGTCAGGAGTGGCCCTGAGTATCAAGTGGGACTAGCCACTGAGCACCATTGGATGTGGCTAAAAAAAAAAAAAAAAAAACAAAACGAAGACAACAAAAATAGAGTTTGTTTTGTAAATCATTCTGATAGCTACATAAGCTTCCTTAGAGGTTTGTAAGAGTAATCTTTTTCCACTTTCCACCCAGGTAGGTTTGTATCAGTTCTATTTTAGAAATAACTCTTCAAAGGGCTGGAGAGAGAGCAGAAGGGCTCAGGCCCTGCTCAGCAGGTGGGAGGCTGGAGTCCCATCCCTGAATACTGCCTGGTGTCTGCCCCCCAAACCAAACCAAACCAAACCAAACCAAACCAATCAGCCTCTTCCAGCTTTGGCTGGACCAATCAGGACAGTTCAGAAAAACCTACTTGAATGATCACAGAAGACCATGAAGACAACACAGGTGTGTTTTGAGGGCACAGCAGGGAGCTGGAGGACTTCCCAGTTCCTTTGCTGTTGCAGTCTATTTTTTTGGGCCACATCTGGCAGTGGGCTGGAGTGATAGCACAGCGGGTAGGGCGTTCGCCTTACAAGCGGCCGACCCGAGTTCGATTCCTCCGCCCCTCTCGGAGAGCCCGGCAAGTATTCGATATGCCAGACACAGTAACAACAAAATCTCCAATGGAGACGTTACTGGGCCCGCTCGAGCAAATCGACGATCAACGGGAGGGCCTTTACCTTTACCTTTTACCTTACATCTGGCAGTGCTCAGGGCTTAGTCCTGGCTCTGTGCTCAGAGATCCCTTTGCTGGGGGGACACGGGGGCCTCCACGGGACTCCGGGCAAATCAAGTGCCCTTCCCCCTGTGTTAGCTCTCGGGCCTCTGCCCAGTCCCTCTAAAGGAAGGTACTGCCGTATCTAACACTCTGGAAACTCTTCTGAGCAGGAACAAAGGCTGCGTGAGCGCTAAGTGCAGTCTCCGTGCCTCAGGTCACACTGGGGTCTAGGGCAGAATCCACGGGCAGACAATGGCACCCATGCCAACACCCTCCCCATTAAGGAAGGCCTTCCAGAGTCTTTCCAAAGGGCCAGTGCACTGGTGCCCTGCGCGCCCCTCGGATGCTCCAAACCCCACTCATCTCTGGGCACCACCTGTCCAGTGTTTAGCTCCAACTGCCCCATGCTGGTCCTGCCCCAAGGGTCTCCAGACCCCACCTCTCAAGTCTTACGTTCCACCCATTCAGCCCCACCCCTGCAGTCTCCAAGCCCCGCCCCATGCTACCTCCAGGCCCCGCCCCAGTAGCCCTGGTCAGGATGGTCTCTGGGCACTGCCCGCTGGGCACACAGTTCCCTCCACCTGCAGCCCTTCGGAGGCCACTGGGCTAAGTTCTTTCTATGCCAACAACGCCACCTCCTGTGGGTCCCGTCTGATGCACCCTCATTTCAGTCTGTGCTTCTCACATCTGCTCCCAGGTCCTCGGGGTGGTGCGTGTGGAGCAGAGTCTAACCTGCCCCGGGTCCTGCGCTGCCATGCCGCTGCGACCCACTAGTGCTCTGGGCACAGCACTCAGCCCTCAGCCAAGCGTGCCACGGTCTTCACCCTCACACGAACTGCAGCTCACACCCGGTCCTTGGAGCTCTGCCCCAGCCGCCCCCATGCTCATGTCTACCGGGTTAGCCCAGCGTACCGGGTGCCCGGCAGAGGGGGACGGTCTTGAGGGGCCATCGGGGGCACACTGTCTTAATCGTTCCCCGAATCCAGGAGCCGTCTTAGACGCGACTGAGCAGCAGCTAGCGGGCCCGTCACCCGGCCTGGTACTAAGCGTTTGCCACGTGCCCAGCGGGCAGGCTCTGCTGCTGGGAGGCCAATCCAGCCAACTGAGCCGGGAGCAGGAGCAGACAGCCCCAGCCCTGCATGCTGGAGGCGGGTGCCCTGGTGTCGCTTCCTCCAGGCCAGAGGGGGAAAGCGCTGAGGCTGCGATCTTGGGGACATGTGGGCTGGGGGAGGGGGCATTCTCCAGGCCATTCCCAGGCACCCTGCTTTCTCCCAGGGCACCCAGAAGGCGCGCAGAGCAGGAAAAACAAGGGGAGCAACGGCTCAGGGCGCACCAGGAGGCTTAGGGCCCACGCGAAGTCATGGACATCGGGCCAAAGGCTGGTGCCAGGGTCCTACCCGGCAGTCCCCCAAGAGGAAAGCAGGTTCCAGGCGCTTTCCAGAAAAATCTTCCTGCCCAAGGACAGGCTCCTTGGCAGCCCCGCTGTTTTCTGCCACAGGATCCAAAGCAGAAAGGGCGCGTAGCCGCAGGGAGCAGACACCCACGGGGATGGTTCTGCCCAAACCCATTCAACAGGCAGGGCACTAAAAACAGAGCGCCGGTTTCTGTTCTGCTTCCCAACTGCCACACGCCGACTCTGGCCAGAGAATGGACCGCCACTCAATTTAGCCTGAGCTGGACCCAGAGTCTCACAGACGCTGACTCTGACCGATGCCCCAACGCCCCCGTGGAAAGTTCCCTTGCTGAGCTTGGGAAAGACTGCGGGGGATGGAGGGGGAGGGGCCCTGGCCCAGTTCCCTGCCTGTCCAGGCCCACCACCCTGCTTGGCCTCACCCTTCTTTGCACAGGGGGTCTCCAGCCCGGTTACCCAGATGTAAAGCAGGGAGAGAAACGACCCCAGAGCGTTCCCATCACCAGCTGCCCCTTCCTCCAAGGACAGACTGGGGGCTGCGGCCCCAAAAGGTCTTGTTAGCCAAGGACTAGTGGCTACGGATGTGGAGTACACAGGCCCATGAACACGTCCGCACACTGCGCTCTTCAGAGCGGCCCCCTGGTCACCCTTTGACCCCAATATGAGGGTGGCAGAGATGGGAGGGTGCGAATGACGGGCAGAGAGAAGAAATGGGTGGAGGGGAGAAAGGAGGGGGGAAGAAAGAGACAGGGAAGAGAGAGACAGAGAAGAGAGAGGCAGGGTGGAGGAGGGAGAGGCAGGAGAGGAGAAAGGCAGGGGAAGGGAGAAGCGGGGAGGAGAGAGAGGCAGGGGAGGGGGCCGGCACTCACCTGCTGGTCCTGCAGCTTGACGCCCACGACCCTGAAGGTGCTGCTGGCAGTGTTGTGGTAGATGTTGATGCGGCTGAAGCCCTGCTGGCCGGGCTTGATGGGCACCCACTTCTTACTGGTGTCATCGTAGACCATCACGGAAGCCCGGGCTTGGCAGATACTCTGTTCACTGGGCGAGAGGAGACACGCGTCAGTGTCAGCGGGCAGAGCCGCGGAAGACAGGCCACCCCGGGATGTTCAGGAGCCCGGCCCAGACAGCAGGGTCGGGGGTGGCGCAGGGTGGGTGACCCCTGAGCACGGCACCTTGGGCCCTCGGTGACACTGGGTGTGGCTTTGGAAAGTCGGTCAGAGAGACAGCATGGTGGGCCAGGTGCCTGCCATGCTCTCGTCTGACCCGGGGTTCCACCCCCAGCACCCCAGTTGGTCCCCCGAGCCTGCCAGGAGTGATCGCTGAGCACAGAGCCAGGAGTAAGCCCTGAGCATCGCTGGGTGTGCCCCCCCCAAAAAAAAAAAAAAACAAGAGAACTTGACTTTTGGAGGAAAGGGCGCTTGACTGGGGTCTCGACCGCCACCTGCCTGCACCATTTTAGGCCCAGAGCACCGCGCTCACAGGAGTGAGGGTACAAGTTACGACAGTGACAGCGGCCATCAGGGTCGGTGGAGGCAGAGGCAGAGCACCGAGCGGGAAGCAGCATGAACAGCACTGAAAAGCCTGCACGACACCCTCCCCCAGCAGCTTGGTGGCCCTAAACCACAGGTCTGTGGCGGTCAGTTCCGAGGTGACCCAGAGGGCTGAGCTCGCCCAGACGTCAAAGGGACGCAGTGCACAGGCTAGGGTCAGCGTCTGCTCCATAGCCCGCCCCCTCGCTCCGGTGCACTGTTTGACGGTCCAGCTACTGGCCACATACTGGAGCCGGCCTCCGCCATGCGGGGTCAAGGACAAAGGCTCAGTTGGGGCTCCCCTGCACTCCCCCCCATACTTCACCCTTCACCTAACACACATTTCTGGGAAGTCAGCGATGAGCCAAACGGAAACTGTCCCGGAGGCAGAGAGAGGAACAGGCAGTGCAGCCAGCTCAGTGCCCACCGCTGCACGACATGCAGGAGCAGGACAGGGGGTCCAGCAAGGGCTGTCCTGCCTGTGCGCGTGTGCACACCCCAGGACCGTGTGTGTATTTACATCGCGGGATGGTTGTGTGTGTATGCGTACATCCCAGGATGGCTGGTGTGTGTATTTACACCTCAGTCTCAGGATGGTTGTGTGTGTGTACACCTGGAACAGCCCAGCAGGAGGAGCAATGGTCCCAGAATTCCTGTGGGGCGCAGGAAAGTGCCCACACCCTTTCCTGAGGCTGGCACAGATCCTCCCCCCCCCCCCATTCGGCCATGCTCAGGGTGCAGCTCCCAGCCTGGCCCCCTTCCTCCAGGAAAAGAGCTGCTCGAGGCCCTCACCAGTGTGCCCCAACTTTCACTGGACACCACTGGGGTGCTTGGGCTTCCCACCTCATGCCTCTCATGGAAGTCTGCCTGCACGCCCGACTCCCCTGGACCATCCTGACGGCTCCCCTGAAGTTCTGGCATCCTCATGGCCTGCACGCATGCTGGGGGTCCCCATACCCGCACTTTCCTGAGCTTCCATGAGTGGCAGAGCTGCGGGGGGGGACACGACGGGGAGGCTGCTGGAGAAGACTGTGGGGTCTCGGAGACCTAGAACCCCACCTCTGGCTCGGGGTGCCAGGAGGGGGCGAGGGGTGTAGGCAAGGGCAGGAGTGGGGGCCGGTACAGGACTAGGGCGCTCGCAGTGCATGCAGCTGACCGGGGCCGTCCCAGCACCCATAGGGCCACCCGAGCATCCGGAGGAAGCCCTGAGCACTGCTGGGTGTCTTGGCCCAGAGAGCAACAGCGGGGGCTGCATCAACCTTCCGGGTCCCCGGGGGTCCCACACACACCGCCGTGGCTTGCTGGCAGCCACAGGCTCCTTTTTCTGGCCCTTGCTTTGACACTGTAAGGCTCACGTCAGACTTGCGGTTAACCCAAGACGCTGGTCTCTTTTAAGCCTTCCCGTCTACACAGTCCTGGTCCCTCTGCAGGCTCTGCCCTCAGCAGCAGGGTCCGAAAGCAAGAAACACTCTCCGCCCCGCCCCCACTTCATCTCACTGACGGTCCCCGTGGGGCCTGCTGGCTTTAATAAGACTGAGAGCTCCCTAGACACCGTGCTGCCCCTGAACTGGGACTTCCCCGCCAGCCTCTCGGGCCCGTGCATCACCGGCCCGGAAGCATTGTGAGAACACTCGCCAGCGTTCATTCCAGAGACCTGTTTCCTTTAGAAGTGACTGAAGGCGGTCGAAAGACAGTGACGGGGCTAAGGAGCTTGCCTTGCGGACCCAGTTAGATCCCTAGCACCACACAGGGTCCCCCGAGCCCTGCCAGGTGTTGCCCTCCCCCCATGCCAAAAATTAATAAAAAAATGGTGCTTTGTTTTGGGGCCACATCTGGCAGTGCTCAGGGTTGACCCCTGGCTCTGCGCTCAGGGATCACATGGGATGCCGGGGATCGAATTCAGGTTGGCCACGTACCAGGCAAGTGCCCTCCTTACCCGCTGGACCATCTCTCCAGCCCCAGGAAAAAATTATGAAACATGATCGAACCAACCCCCCTTTAATAGACGGTAAAGGTAAAGGTAAGGTAAAGGCCCTCCCGTTGATCATCGATTTGCGAGCGGGCCCAGTAATGTCTCCATTGGAGACTTTGTTGTTACTGTGTTACATATCGAATACTCCTGGTAGCTTGCCGGGCTCTCCGAGAGGGGCGGAGGAATCGAACTCGGGTCGGCCATGTTGGCTGCGTGTAAGGCGAACGCCCTACCGCTGTGCTATAAAAAAGATTATTTATGTCCTCCCCTGCTGCGGTCATGCAGACATGGCCTGCCTTGCTTTTCCCACACCCCAACTCTGACGAACCCCACGAAGCCACAGAGGAAGGGGGGCTGGCTCTCAGGAAGTCAGCAGTCCTGCCAAGTGCCTCTCGGGGATCCTTGGGGCTGAGCGGCAGGGCCGGGGTGTCCAGGGGCCTTCCTGGGACCCAACAAATGACGCCCTCCTTGTTGGGGCTCCGAACAGGCACCCATGGTCACGGCACCCTTCGGGCCTCAGAACCCTCTCACAGAGACCCTGACCCTTTATCTGAGTGGCAAGCACTGAGGGTCGCCTGTCCCAGGGTCACCCCATACCATGCCGCCCTGTGCCCACCTGTCTGGGGGGTCCCTGTGCCCCCTTACAGTGGTGCCTAGAGTGAAGAGACCCTATGACTGCACTCTCGGACCCAAGCAGGAGCGCCGGTACAGGAGAGGGGGAGTGAGGATGCCAGGGTGCCGGTGCCCCCTACCCCCAGCAGTAATGAGCAGAGCCCCACAGGCCCGGAAGCGAGAGCAGAGGGAAGGGAAGTGGTTAGAGTCGCCGCCCGAGGCATCCCCTAAGGACCCCCAAGCCCCACCAGGAGTGATCCCTGAGCACAGAGCCAGAAATAACCCCTGAGCATCATCAGGCGAGACCCCAAACCCGACGACAAAAAGATGCTAGTGCGCACAGCGCAGGCGGCATGGGTGAGGCGTGGCTGCGACCTCTGGCACACTCAATACACAAATGCAAGTTCCCCATTGCTCTGGGAACCTGCTGGGCCCTGAGTGAGGCGCTGACCACAGGCTGCCCGAGATGATGGGGGACTGCCCACAGCCGCTCCAAACACCATAGAGCTGGCCCGGCTGGGCCAGTTCCAGGTCCTCAGGGCTTCTTGGGGGGTGGGGCTGTGAGCTCGGGCTGTCCCTGCAGCCAGGAGCACAGGGCACGTACCAGACCCAGCGCCATGCGGCGGGGGCAGGTGAGGCGCGTCTTGGGAGGGGTGGCGAGGTGCAGCCTGTGAAAGGGGCCGTGCGCCCCAAGCCCCTCTCTGCACCCCTGCTGCACTCGCGACCAGGGAAACGGGGAGAGCCGCACCCCGAATGTAGCCCTGGGGCCCAGTTTGGAGGCGGAAAGGGAGGGAGAAGGGCAGGAAGGGGCTGTGCGCCGCTCCTGATGGCCACCCGCACGGGCCAGCGTCCACCATGGAGCCACATCCGGGCCCGTCTCTGGTGTCTGACCCTGCAAATGAGGCTGCGGTGCCTCAGTGTGGGGCATCTTAACATCCCTTTTCTCTGAACCCTTGACCTTCTAGTTTCATTCAAGCACCGCGGTCACAGCCATGGAAGACAGGCCTCAATGAACGGGCGGAACTGAGGGTGCACTGTGCAGGCTGATGCTGACTCCTTTGGGCTACCGTGAGGCCATTTTTCAGAAAGGGGCTTTTGGACGTGCATGTGTGGGGGTGTGCATGTGACACGACCCCCCCCCCGAAAAAAAAAGAACCCCCAACAAAAAACACCAAAAAAAACATTCATGTCTGAAAGCTTCCATGGACTCTGAACTGGCACCCGTATGGGAAGCAGGTTCCCGTGACCCCAGTCCCTTGTCTAGGAAAGGGGGTGTCCCCTTCCCCAGCGGGTCAGCTCGGGAGAGGGCAGAATGCGGCTCTGTGGGGCCCAACCGAGCTTCTGCACCACCCAGGAGGCTCTTGAAGCGGTCTGTCACCTCAGACCCGATCACCCCGGAGCTGGCCCTGCCTACTGTCCTTCTCTGCCACTGACGCACTCAAAGCACAGACTCCTGGGCCACGAACAGCCACACGCCTTCCACAGGCCCTGACATGTCACACAGGATGGGTCGCTTCGAAAATGTTCTACTGGCACTGGCAGACGGGAATGTAACCCGGTGATAGACAGAGGTACTGGTCAGGGGCACAAAGGACAGATGTGATGGACAGGAGACAGAGGGGGATAGAGATGCATGGACAAGGGGCAGAGGGGGAGAGGGGGATGGTGGGCTGGCGTGACCCTCTTCTGCTGGGCTCCATGGCGACGCTGGAGTCCACGCGGCCTGTGTCCACTCTCACACTGACCACGGGCGGCCTCATCTCCTGACCTGTGTCCCAGGCTGGAGACCGAGCACAGGTTGGAGCCAAGGCACTTGCCATGCATGTAGCTGACCCTGGTTTGGTCCCTGGCACCACACTGGTTCCCCCGAACCCCACCAGGAGTGACCCGAGTGTAGAGCCAGGAGGAAGCCCTGGGCACTGCTG